CCCCAAAACCCCAAAACCCCATGAGGAATGAAATATGATTGAAATGTAAAGCAGACTATTAAATATATATACATATCCAAAATATATAAAGAGAAAATAGGGAAGTCGTGCGAAAAAAATAGATTGAACAACCCATAGACTATTGACGAGATTTATGTTTGTGTTGAAATTTTAGCAAACAAAGAACTATCTAGTGCCAAGTGGAACAAGCCGGTCCTGACACCTTCTGCTGTTTATCTGCAAGCATAAGATGCATCTACTTATAGATGAAGGTCCTCAGAACTTTAGCTTGGTTCTTCTCCAGTTTCTTCTCTTTGCGTTGTACCTGATTTTGTTGTCAGTCTTGTATCTGATCCAGTTGGGCATAGGTCTGTTCTGCTTGATCTTTTTTGCCAATCTCACCTTCTTTCTGAAAGTCTTAATTGATCCCTAAACAAAAGAGTTAGAACAACATTAAAGGCACATACCATTTCGAGATTTATTGTTATTTAATATATAATCTTTAATTACTCAACTTTATATCACTTAAATTAACATATAAAAATATAATCAACGGGTAAACTATGCAAAACCATTTGTCGATCTCATTTGCTACTGATTCGATTAAATTCCACCATTCAAATTGAACTAGCTATTTGAATTGGTTCCATTATTAGTTATATTATTGTGATGATTATTGACTTGATTTGGAGATGCTGGAGTTCTATTAAGCATTTAAGTTGTATCATTAAGCCTTTGCATGATATTTTAGAAAGTTTGGTTGTTATTGAAGTTGAAGTTAAAGTTCTATGAAGTATTCTCTAGACTATCCATAAGCCTTGTGAGCTCACCCATTAGCATATCTATCCTGGATAAAACTTCCTCTGATCCATCACCACCAGTGCCTGGTTGATATTTCTAAAGCATTAAAATGAAAATAATATACTGTGAAATTCATAGCTTATCCTGTAAATGAAATGCTATCAGGTTGAGGAGCTTAGAACATGACCTAGTTTTGCGATTCAACATTGTTAAATTCTGTATTTGACACTATAGGTAAATTAGTGGTTAATCAAATTTACTTTGTGCCGCATTATTCAGTGGCTGGGTAGTCTGACTAATCTAGTAGAGCATTTTCATTCTGTTTATGGTATCATTCAGTTTATTTACTTCTAGTTACAAATTAATTCGCTGACTTTCACTTTCATAGAACTATCTTTCAAGATTTCTGCAATTATTACACCTTTCGCTATCTCTAAACTAGTTTTGACTCTGCCTAAGAGAATCCTTACCATATTTCATTCTTATAGAATCTCTTTTAAATTGTTAGTCAGGGTGTTAAACTTGAGAGAGAGGATTTAGAATCTCAAATTCACTCTTGTCATAGTCATTTTGATCATTCTTAGGAGCTACTATTGAAAAGTCCTCTCTGCTTCCATCTTTCACAAAATTAGCAGAGAAATCTGAAAAGGAAGCACTTCTTTTGAAAGTAGTTCCATCTTTAATATTTAAGGATATAGGAAACTAGTTCTACAAAGTCTAAGCAAATGGCCCTTATATGACCATTTGATTTTAAAATTCTGCATCTCCATCCTCAATTTTTATGTTATTTCCTTTTAATGAATAGAGAGTATTAGGATATTTAGTTTTGTATTTATTTTGCTAGTTCTTTGAATTCGCTCTTTATACTTTATTCGATAAGAGATTAAACCCTATCAGTTTTTATTTCTTTTTATCATTATTAGGCTACTTAAAAAATGGATTCTAAATTCCATTACTTGACTATGGTCTTTTATTTTTTTTCATAATAGGTGCTTAGACTTACTTTATGGAGCCTTAAATGAATTTTTAAGATGCAGTTTTTGAAAATTGAGAGCCCATTTAACTCATCATGTCAAATCCTTAACTTATCTTAGCTGATTACTGATTAATAGGAGTTTGAACCTGCCTAAATTACCCAGTCTCACCAAAATTTTATTCAATTAAATCACCAGGTTCAAATAATAAAACACTTGGATTTAACCATTACTTCTTTACTATGATTTTGCTTTTCTTTAATTTGTCAATATTCTTGAGCAAGCACAAGGCAATAATTTGTTAATGTTTATAAGAATTGCAGTTGTTATTTCTAAGGTCTAAGTTTGTTAATGAATTATTATTTTTCAGAGCAGGTATCAGATCGCTCTTCACAACATTGTCTGTGATTTTATTAAATTTAAGGTCAATAACTCTTAGATATTCGTCATATTTTACAACTTTAGCAAGTGCCTTTATAAAGTTTGATCCTAATTTATTATAACAGAGATGAAACTCTTTGAGCCCTATTTCTTCAAGATTCTTAGGCTTTTCTCCTCTTAATCCATGCAGCCAGACAACTTAATCTCTCATTTCAGATTATTCTTAGACTATCTTAGCAAGCAATCCCCCACAATCATCAGTGATGCCATTACATGAAAAATCAATAACTTCTAAAGATTGATTCATTTTAAGTCCAGGTTGTAGCATTTCAATTGCTTAGTGTGACAGATTGCAAAGATTAACTTAAAGTTTATAGAGAGCCTATGCTTTTCCTAGACCTTAAGATAAGTATCCCCAACCATCATTACTAAGCCTTATTTTGATGATTGAAAGTTACCTCATAATACCAGATGAGAGATTTTTGCTAATGCCTCTAAACATTTTAGGAGATACTAACTTACTAAAACAAATGAGTATTATCAGAGCTATTAGCTGAGAGTTTTTTATTTTATTATCCAATTATCGCTCCTTAGTCGAGACCGTTTTAATTTTCTAATTTCTCAGATTTGCATTGCACTTGATAGAACTTTTCTATATCATTTTTCAATGGACTGCATTAGTCACTCCAAAGCTGTACCAATCCAAAGCATTAAAATTCTGAGAATATCATTCCCATTATTTTGCTGTCATATTTATTCGTTCCAAAGTGATCAACGCAAATTCTCACATCCTCCCCTTTAACTCTTTAAATAGTAAATCGTTTTAATTTACATCTTTGGGACTATTTCCAAGAACCTTTCCTTCATTTCAGAGCTCCTTACTAATTTTTTTAGCACTGAATTCTTTGCCATCTCCTAATAAATTAAATAAATCGTTTCATATTTCTTAATTACAATATTATGCTTAAGGATATCTTTTTCTTATTTGAATAGAGAATTTCTAGTGACTGATTTACTCTGAGTGCTAAGAAGTGCTTGCGAGCTCATAGTCCCAGCTAAGCTGTACTAAGCCTACATATTCATTTTATTTTGATTTTCCATGAAAAATTAAATATTCTAAATTATATATTTGTTTTAATTTCAAATTTATTCAAAGCTAGCATTAAATTTTCATAATGGGGTTTTGGGGTTTTGGGG